GTCCTGCTAGGCCCACCTCCCACACACAGCTTCCAATCTGATCCCTCATACCACTGTGGACCCCACCCCACCTCCTGGTATCATCATCAGAACACCAGGGAAAACATGGTGCCTGACCCCAGAGGTTCCTGCAGGCCAAGATGTGACGTTGGCTATGGAGCTAGAGCTTCCTGGAATCCAGGACATTGTACCTTCCATGCCTTTTTCCCAGTGGGTCTCCCTCCAGCCCCTGCACCCAGCCACAGCTCCTACTATTCCTTCCCACAGCCTCTCTTCTGGCCCACTGCCCAGAAGAACATTTATGAATAAAACCACCTTGCTCTTTCCACTGCTGCATTCTTGCACACATTCCTCCCTCAGCCTTGGAAAGCCCTATCCTCCATTTTCTACTCGGTGAACTCATACTCACCCTTCATGACCCATTTCAATGTTATTTCCCCAGGCTATTTGCCACCATTTGCTCTCAGACCACTTCTGTAGCTACTGTAAACTTAGTTCTTAAAAGAAAAAACAAACAAACTAGGGTATGTGGTCTAAGAGCACAAGAACTAGTATTTGAAATGGGAACCATAAAGGAAAATTCCAGCTGTGGGAAGTGCTGGCAGGACAGCACTTCCTTCCCAGAGTACGAAGATCCGTTTACCATGTGGGGCCTTGTGCTGGGCATGTAGTCAGTGCTCAAGGGATGTATACTGAGTAAATGAATGAGTGAATGAGTGCATGAATGGACATTGAGGGGAGGGGAAAGGATGAAGACCTGGGGTAGACTTTCCCCCAATACCACGTGTTCACAGACAGTGGAAGGCGTGCAAATAGTGGCAAAACACTCCTCCAAATTGCCTGTAATCATGGCTCCATCCAGCATTTATCCCAAAGATTCATTCATTCATTCATTCATTCAACAAATGGATATTGTGTGGTGATTCTGTGCCAACTATTGTTCTAAGCAGTGGGGATTCAACGATATAAAAAGCAAAATCCCTGCCCACAAACCAGTTGGCAAAATGGACAATGAACACATAAATACTGAAGTGTCTGATCATGGTAAGTGCCACCTAGAAACAAGAAAGCAGCATAAGAGGAACAGGGTCATGGGACGTGTGCAGGTATACAGAGGCCCTGTAGTAGATGCATCCTCAGCAGGGGCAGGTGTGCTGGGAGTCAGCAATGCAAGGGCATTGGGAGTCAGGTCATGCAGGGTGTTTCCAGGGTGGGGACTTAGGTTCTCACTCCGTGGTGGGAGTGGCATAAACCCATCCCTCCTGCAAAGAGAGGATTTGGGGGTGGGGTGATGAAGAAGCGGGAAGCCACCTGGGAGGTTGTTGCAGGCTCTGCCCAGGTGAGAAGTGGTTGGATTCTGGGTATGTTCTGAATGTAGCCAGTAGGGTTTGCTGTCAGGCTGTATGTTAGGTACGAGAGGAGGGAAGCAGTGAGCCTGACGCCAGGGTTAGAGTTCAGTGACAGATACACAGTGCTGCAGGTTTCTGAAGTGGGCAGATGGAGGAAGGATACATCAGAACCATCCTTCAGCAGGCTCATGGTTGGTTCTATGTGTTTTGGGCTGAGGGACAGGCGATGGCAGAGCAGGACTCTTGGTGCCACAGAAGCACTGCTGCCTGGGCAAGCTTAGGGCTGGGGCTTCTCCGCAGCAGGGAAGGTGTTCTGGAAGGAAGTTGTCTGAGCAGAACTGAGTTGTAAAGGGAAGACTGGTGGTTACTCAGGTGGAAGGGTGTTCCCTACAAAAGGAACAGTGTGAGCAAAGGAGCATAGGCCTGATACAGGTTATTGGGTGCTTGCTACATGTCAGACACTGCTAAATGCTTTCCCTGCTTCACCACTTGAATCCTTGTGCTGATCTGATGAGACTGGGAGAATTGTTATACCCCTTTACAGATGAGGAAACAGATTTGCGAGGTCAAATAATGTGCCTGGAGACACAGCTAGTGAGCATGGGGCAACAGGGGTGTTCTAGCATGTGGCTGTGTGTGGGCTCTGACCCCAGGGAGTCTGAGTTAAAGTGTAGATGTCCTGCAACTGGGAGAGAGCAGTAGGTATTTGGGACTGACTGGAACATGCAGTGAGAAGGAACGTGGGATACCAGCCCAAGGCCAGTCACAGATGGCATTGGTAGGTGACCTGTCTCCACAGTGGGGTTGTCAACCCCACATGGGGTTGATGGAGCTTATTATCCCTGAGTCTACCAGCTACTCAGTGTAGCCACCCTCCCCAGTTTTAGTAACTGTGGTGACAGTGAGCAGCATGAGGTGGCTGGAGAACCATGCAGAGGATATAGGGACTTGGTTACTTAGTTCAGCTGGGTTGGTTGGCCTTCAGGGCTTATTTCAGGAATTCAGCTCTTTTTCTTGCCTTATTGTACTGCCTAGGACCTCTAGTACAATGAATAAAGTGGTGAGAATGTTCTTGCTTTGTTCCCAATGTTAGGAAGAAAAATTCAGTCTTTATTAAGTATCATATTACCTATAGATATATCAGGTTGAAAGTAGTCTTCTGTGGTAGGCAGAGTAATAGCCCCCGCAAAGATGTCCAGGTCCTAATCTCTGGAACTTGTGAATATTATTACCTTACATTGCAAAAGGGAGTTTGTAGATGTGACTAAGTTGAGGATTTTGAGATGGGGAGATTGTCATGGATTATTCAGATGAGCCCAATGAAATTACAAGGGTCTTTATAAGACAGAGGCAGCAGGATCAGAGTTTGAAAGAGATTGGAAATGAACGTTATGCTGCTGGCTTTAAAGATGGAGAAAGAGGGCGCCTGGGTGGCTCAGTTGGTTAAGCGACTGCCTTCAGCTCAGGTCATGATCCTGGAGTCCCTGGATCGAGTCTGGGAGTCTGCTTCTCCCTCTGACCCTCCCCCCTCTCATGTGCTCTCTCTCTCTCTCAAATAAATAAATAAATAAATAAATAAATAAATAAATAAAATCTTTAAAAAAAAAAATAAAGATGGAGAAAGAGCCATGAGCTAAGGGATGCAGGTGGCTTCTAGGAACTGGAAAAGCAAAAAATAGATTATCCTCTAGAGCTTGCAGAAGAAACAAATCCTGCTGACACCTTGATTTTAGTTCAGTGAAACCCATTTCAGATTAAGCCACTGAATTTGTGGTAATTTGTTATAGCAGCAATAGGAAACTATTACACTTTCTGTTTGTAGTTTTGTGGTGGTGGTTTTTTTATCAGGATAAGTACTGAATTTTGTCAAATGATTTTTCTACATTTCTTCAGGTGATCATGTTTTTTCTCCTTTATTCTATTTACATAAGAATTATATTGATGTTCCATTTTTTTAAAAGATTTTATTTATTTGACAGAGAGAGTGAGAGAGCATAAACAGGAAGAGCAGCAGAGGGAGAGGGAGAAGCAGGCTCCCCGCTAAGCAGGGAGCCCAACACAGGGCTCCTGAGCCGAAGGCAGACTCTCCCCACCCCCTCCCCAAAATAAATGAATCTTAAAAAAAAAAAAGGGTGCCTGGCTGGCTCAGTTGGTAGAGCATGTGACTCTTGATCTCAGACTACTCAGTTCAAGCCCCACGTTGGGCACAGAAATTACTTAAAAATATGACAAACCTCAAACTAAACTGATTAAGGGGGAAAAAAGGCAATAAATTACCAATATCAGGTTATAGAGCTTCCTTAAGAAAAATGGGGCACCTGGGTGGCTCAGTTGGCTAAGCGTCTGCCTTCGGCTCAGGTCATGATCCCAGGGTCCTGGATTCGAGCCCCATGTCAGGCTCCCTGCTCCTCGGGGAGCCTGCTTCTCCCTCTCCCTCTGCCTGCCTGCTTGTGCACTCTCTCAAAAAAAAAAAAAAAAAAAATTAAAAATATTTGCTAATGGGCACCTGGGTGGCTCAGTCGGTTGAGTCTGGCTTTGGCTCGGGTCGTGGTCCCGGGGTCCTGGGATCAAGTCCCAAGTTGGGCTCCCTGCTAGGAGGGGAGCCTGCTTCTCCTTCTGCCCCTCCTGCCTGCTCATGCTCTCTCTCTCCTTCTCTCTCAAATAAATAAAAATCTTTAAAAATATTTGCTAATTTTTCTTGTGATTTCTTCTTTGACTTCTGGGTTATTCCCAAGTATCTGGGGATTTTCCAGATATTTTGTTAATTTATAATTTTATTCTGTTGTGGTCAAAGAACATAACTTTTTTTAAGATTTTATTTATTTTTTTTGCGAGAAAGAGAGATTGAGGGAGAGAAGGAGCAGGGGCAGAGGGGGAGGAAGAAGCAGACTCCCTGCCGAGCAGGGAGCCCAGTGTGGGGCTTGATCCCATAACTCCATGATCATGACCTGAGCCGAAGACACTCAACTGAGCCACCCAGGCGTTCCCGTAACTATTTTTAAGATTTATTTATTTATTTGAGAGAGAGAGAGCGAGAGAGGCAGCTCACAGCAAGGGGCAGAGGGAGAGGTACTAATTTATCTTTCCACCAGCACGGTAAGAGTTCCTCCTTCAGGGGTGCCTGGGTGGCTCAGTTGGTTAAGCAACTGCCTTCGGCTCAGGTCATGATCCTGGAGTCCCGGGATCGAGTCCCACATCGGGCTCCCTGCTCAGCGGGGAGTCTGCTTCTCCCTCTGACCCTCTTCCCTCTCGTGCTCTCTATCTCTCATTCTCTCTCTCTAATAAATAAAATCTTAAAAAAAAAAAAAAAAGAGTTCCTCCTTCAGGACGTCCTTGCTGACATCTACTGACACGTTTTCACATTCTAACACTTCTGCCCACTTGAGTCTATACTAGCCACACTTAACATTCATGTAAACTGTGCCCACCCCTGTGCTGCGCACTGTGTGAATGATCTCATTTCATCCTCACAAGAGCCCTATCAATTAAGAATGTGTGGTCATTTATGGCCAAGAGAGCAAGTCTTTGTCCCTCTCCTGTCCACTCGCCTTCTGTCTGGGCCCAGTAGCCATCTCAGCTTTCTTCTCCCAACTTGGGTTGGGATGGGTCCCAGTAGGGCCTCAATCCTGCCCCGAACGCTTTCCTCCTCAGGTTGTTACTCCCTGTCAGTCCGCCTTAGCCGCCCTGCATCGTGGGACCGGATCAGACACTACAGGATCCAGTGCCTTGATAATGGCTGGCTGTATATCTCACCACGCCTCACCTTCCCTTCACTCCAGGCCCTAGTGGATCACTATTCTGGTATGGCCTTTCCATTAGACTGGGATGTGGGGTCTGGGGGGCAGACAGTTGTGCCCTTAGACACTTTACCTGCTGGAGAATATCCAGACAGGCAGAGGAGGGACCTCTCCATCTCCATGCCAGTCCCTGTGCTAAGAACACAGGCCGGGAGCTGTCTTCATCTCATGTCCTGACAGAGCCACATAGATCTCCCATGTGGTTCTGAGTCCAAGACCTCAATGGCAGGCACAGTTGTCTCCACAGGAACTAGGCCCAGAGCTGTTGCTGTTGTGCAATTCAGTTGAATCAGCATTTCCTGGTGCCTGTCCTGTTATAGGGACTGGAGCATGCAGCCAGGAGGGCAGTGTCCAAGGGGCAGAAAGGAAAGACCACTCCTGGGAAAACTCATCAGGTGTTTCCTAGAGGGTGGGTCCATGCGGTAGATACTGACAGAACATGTAGAGATGAAGTATTTTCTAGCTTTCTTCTTCCTAAAGCACTTTCCTAACCAGAAACTGGCACTCAAAGAGGTCTATCAAACTACCCAAAACCACAGCAAATTAAATCTTCAAAACCTAGCCTAGAATGATCTGATTGCATCTCAGCCCCTAGATCAACAGCTTGAGGCTTGTGCCCTGTCACTTTTTTTAAAATGTAATCTCTACACCCAAAGTGGAGCCTGAACTCACAACCCTGAGATCATGAGTCTCTACCGACTGAGCCAGCCAGGTGCCCCCATCATTCTTTTTTGACCATGCCTCCACCTGGCAAATGGGGAAAGCTGTCAGGGTGAGGGTGGGGGTTGTTAGGGAGGGTAAAGTAGGGCTGGAGTCAGCCATGTCAAGGGTCTAGGTCTCTTTCTCAGAGCTGGCGGATGACATCTGCTGCCTCCTCAAGGAACCCTGTGCCCTGCGGAGGGCTGGCCCACTCCCTGGCAAGTCCATACCCCTACCTGTGACTGTGCAGAGGGCGCCACTCAATTGGAAAGAGCTGGACAGGTAAGGGGCCCCCTGGAACATGAAGACAGAACAAAGGAGAAAAAGGACCCACCCCTGGGAACCCACAACCCCAAATGAGCCTGTCACCTTTGGGGACACTGGCGAGCCAGTGAGTACTGACTGACCTCGTAGAGACCAAGCCAGGCTCAGCAGGACTGTAGGGGGACTGGCAGGAAGGAGAAAGACAGAGTGGATAGAGGGCATGCCCAGATGGCAAAGATGGCCAGGATGGAAGGTCAGACAAGATGGGGTAGAACAGAAAGCACCAGTCCTGAATGGAAAAGTCAAGCTGGGGTTTTATCTGACAGAGAACGGGGAGCCACTGGGAGTTTTCAGGTGGTGTGAACTTAACTTGAACTGCGGTGAGAGCAGGGAGGAAGATGAGGCTCCGTGACCCAACTCTCTTCCCCTCTCCACAGCTCCCTCCTGTTCTCTGAAGCACCTGCCTTAGGGGAGTCCCCTCTCCTCAGCGAGGGGCTCCGGGAGGCCATCAGCTCCTATATCAGCCTGACTGATGACAGCTCCCTGGATGATGCCATGGCCCAAAGCAGAGGCCAAAAGGGAATACAACGCTGCAGCACCTAGACCCCCAGCTCAGCTCAGTCTGAGCACTCCAAAGGCAAATTCAGGGTCCCACTTGTATCCTTTGCTCCTTCCTGTCTCAGCCCTAAGAAGTCACTTAACCCTCTCCCAATGCCATGAACCCACCTGCAACCTCTAGTTCAAGTACAGACCAGGTGAGAACAGGGACAGGGCTCCAAAGAGACTAGGCCTCTGGGGTTTGACACAATTTCACCTGAGTTTGGGATTTCCAGAACCATCTTCCTCCCCTGCCTATTGAGTCCCCTTCTACACCCCCACAGTTCCACCCACTAGGTAGAAACAACCACTAGCATCAAGAAAAAAAAAAAAAACCATTTAAAGAGAATCTACAAGTCTCACTCAGAATACCATACTTCAGAAGGTAGGACTGTGGCCTAGAAGGGACAGGAAAGCAAAGGGATGGATGTCTTCCCACAGCAACAGAACCGGAATGTCCAGCCTCCACCTGACCCCCCAGAGCAAAGGGGACCTCTGACAGTCAATGTTCTCAAATAGCCCCATCAAACCTCTTCTCTGGACAGTCCTAGCTCCAAGATCTCTATTTCATTTTGTGGCTTATCATTTGAACCTGCCTAAGCTTTCCTGGCTACAGTGGCCTTGCCATCTTGTGGCCAAACACAAAATGGCACCTTCTAGATCTAGCACACATGTCGCTCAGCACCGGGCAGGGGCATCAGAAGTCAGTAAGCCTCTCTCCACAAAGCCAAGGCCACAGCCTACACCAACTCCAGCCCTTGATTTCCCTGCTGCCCATTAAGGAAGAGAGGCCTGGCTGGAGCTACTACAGGAGCAGGGGGAGGACAGGAGGGAGAGGGATGAGGGTGGAGGGCAGGGTTCTGAGGCTAGAGGTGATGTGGGAAAGGCTTTAACAGGTATCATCAACAGGTTCTCAATTAAAGATTTGATTTATTCAAGTACCTGAAAACATTCTACAATGAAAACTTATTAGATGCTGCTTGTACTGTGCTATGGACCACGCACATACTGCCACTCTGTTTTCAGAAGACTTGAAATGCCACTGATAGTTTAAAAACTGTACACCTGATGGAGAAGTGAGGAAGACAATTTAATGTTTCATCCGGATCCAGAGGTGCATCAAATTAAATGACAGCTCCGATCAGCAAACAGGTGTTTCATGATGATATCCAAGAAGAAATGGTTGGTGATGGATAATTCAGAAATGCTTCCCCAAAAGGCGGATGGTTCTTTAAAAAGTTTCAGATCACAACCCTTGCAGAAAACACTGATGCCCAACACAATGATTCTTGGTCCAGGAAACATGGGTCTTCCAGGTTCCACGTGGCTGGGGTGTCCCTACAATCATGTTTCTGTGCTGTAACTATGAGGGTCCTTTGGACCGGACAGAGTAGGTGGGGTCTGTACACCATCAGTCATAGTGGATGGCAGTGTAAAAAATGATCCAAATGACCTAGAGAGGAGAAAAGCAATGGTCATAGGTCACCTGGGTCAACAAAGGCACCTATTCCACAAAACAAAAATGTCAAAGAATGTGTGCACAGTGGGCTTCCCAGGGGTTATTCAATGCAATCAGCCGGGAGGCCTAAATAATTTCACTGAAATCAAGCTGTCTCTGACAGAGCACAGGATCACCCACCAGTGCTACCAAAGAGACCATGGACAAGCTTCCCTCTCTCAACCAAATAGCAACTGGAGCACCAGGGAGTGGAGTTATAGATGTGGAAATGATACAGGTAAAGGGTTAGGATTAGCAACAAATGTGAAAAACAAACCACCACCATACCCTGTCAGCTTCATATCAAATAAAGCAGAGGTTCTCAAAACTGGTTATTCACTGCAAACTCCTGGGACCTTTAATACATATGTATGCCCAGGCACCCCAGATTTTGATTTTACTGATTTGGGCCAGAGTCTATAATTTTTTAAAAATTAATTTTGAAATATGATTCATATTTCATAAAGTTCACCTTCTGAAGTATATAATAGAAAAAAATATATATATACAATACAGAGGTTTTTAGTATATTCACAGAGTTGTGCAAAGATCACACTGATTCTGGAACGTTTTCATCATCCTCAGTTTCTTCCCATTTCCCTGTCTCCCCCTCCCCCCCCCCAGTCACTGGCAACCACTAAGCTACTTTTTTATCTGTGTGGATTTGCCTATTCTGGACATTTTACATAAATGGAATCACATAACATGTTTTGTGTCTGGCTTCTTTCACTCAGCATAACATTTTCAAAATTCATCAAAGTTGTAGCCCCTACCAGTACTTTATTCCTTTTTATGGTCGAATACCATATGGATATACAACATTTTATTTATCTACTGACCAGGTGACGGTTGTTTGCGCTTTTTCAGCTATTATGAATGCCATAAACATATTTTTAAATGTTTCCTAGTTTCTACTACACAACCACATTTGAGAATCAGATGTAGAAGCTGATGACAGGCCCTGGGTGTGTACACCAACAGGGAGATGACAGTGTACCACACCACATCTTTTGGGACAACTGGATTGATGGAGGAAACGCCCTCCAATCCCTGGAGCCTTCTGAAAAATGGTACACCCCAATCACAAAGCACAACCCAATCAGTGTGCTCCCCTTGAAAAACAACAGGATTTACTATATAACAGCTATACATACCATGAACAAGGCAAAAGATGTCATAAACCCTTCTTTTGTGAGCTCCCATGTGCCACCATATTCTTCCTCATCTATCTGTAGGTAGTTGCTGAAGTAGAGATACAGGACTCCTGCATTGATCAGGCAGAATCTGGAGGGAGGACAAGCACCGAACACAAACTATGAGCTCAGAAGACTTAGAACTCCACTACCACAGTCCAGCCTTACCAGGACGTTGCACAGTTAAGTATTTGTATTATGGGGGCAAGTGAAAAATAATACATGGACCTAGACCCTCAATGGAACTGCCCAGTGGTTGAGCTAGAGACATAAAGAGCAACTTTTATTTAGATGCCCAGCAAAAATTTTTTAAAAATTTAAAAGCACATAAAAGTTCTCCAAGCTCTCTCAAAATAAGAGAGAATGGTAGCCAAACCATCCCAAACCAGGACTAGTACCTGACATGGGCCTCCAAGTAGCTCCAGTTGAGGTGGGGTGGCCACGGGACAAATACATGTCAAGCTGCTGCTTCACGGCCTAGTGGAACAAGCAAGCATACTAAAGCAGCTCCTGCATTCATTCCCAATGGGAAACAATTTCCAGATATCCACTGTCTGCTACTGCCCTTGATGCAGAGGTGAACACTGACAATTCCTGCTCTACCTCAGCTATCTATTAGGAGGCCAAAAACAGCCGTGAGCATGGAACTGAAACCACAGGTTTGTGAGCACCTCCAGGGAGGTCTTTGATCCCCCATATTGTATTTAACTAATGAAGCATTTAAAATGCAGTGAGGTGTAATGTTATCACCCTGATCTACTTATTTTTTGGTATAGTCATCATGTAGGAATTTATTTTATAGCGTGACCAACACTTTATGATCTTCCAAGTTACAGCATCTAATCTAATGGGGGACTGTATGTTTTAAGCCACACTGCTCCTGAAGGCTGGGTTGGGGAAAATGCAAAGAACTAGTTCCTCCTAATGGATTAAGTGTGGGCTGGTGTGGGGCAGGGCAGTACAATGATGCTGAGGAGTGTTCATCAGTATGAGGGGTAGGGGGCAGACCCTGGGGCTGTTGGAGCATGAGACAGAGTATACATACATCAGAAGTCTAGTTTTTTTGTTTTTGTTTTAAAGATTTTATCTTTAAGTAATCTCTATACCCAACCAGAGGCTCGAACCCATAACCCTGAGACCAAGAGTCGCATGCTCTACTGGCTGAGCCAGCCAGGCATCCCAGAAGTCTAGATTGTGAGGAGAATATAGGCTTTCTCATGAGTAGGGGGAACAGGAGCTGGGAGACTGGTTTATACTTGTACCATGTTTTATGACATGAGCAGAAATAAAGCTTGAGGACAGGGACTGGGAAAATGGCTGAATAGGGAGGTAAGAGACTCAAAGGCTTGAAGCCCAAGGGTCTGGGAGTATAATGGTTCCAGTAACAGGCAGGGAGTCAGGAAGAGCAGGTTTTTCTTGGATTTCACACAAAATACAGTCCTTGGCTTGGTCATATTGTGGCCACATCCTTATCTTCTGCCAGAAATCTTGGGACCTAGCCAATGTGGCTGCCTCTCTCTGTCAGGAGTTTCATTTTTGTTTTGTTTTTGAAAAACTGATTTATGTATTTTTTTTAAGATTTTTTATTTATTTATTTGAGAGAGAGAATGAGATAGAGAGAGCATGAGACGGGGGAGGGTCCAAGGGAGAAGCAGACTCACTGCTGAGCAGGGAGCCCGATGCGGGACTCGATCCCGGGACTCCAGGATCATGACCTGAGCCGAAGGCAGTCGCTTAACCGACTGAGCCATCCGGGTGCCCTGATTTATGTATTTTAGAGAGAGCACGCATGCGTGAGTAGGGGGAAGGGCAGAAGAGGGAGACAGAATCCAAGCAGACTGCCTGCTGAGCACAGAGCCCAATGCAGGGCTTAATCCGAGGACCCTGAGATCATGACTTGAGCTGAAATCCAGAGCCGGGTGCTCAACCAACTGAGCCACCCAGGTGCCCCATGGAGCTTCATTTTGGACAGGCTGTTAGTGGTTCCAGACAGAGATTACTAGCAGGACTCAGAAATGTTACTCTGGGACTCACCTAATAAGCTAGGGCTGGAGAATGGCTGAGATTCATTGTGAGTCTCTGGCGATAAAAGTGGTTGCTTAGTGATATGATATAGGGAAATATGAGGAAAAGAGGAAATAAGGGACGACAGAGAGAAAAGAGCTAAATGGGCCCCTGCCTTCCAAGGGTCACACACTAAGTAGAAAGTGAAGTCATAGAAACAAAGGCCTTCAAACGTCTGGTGGTCAAGGGGGAGGGCTCAGGAAAGGACTGGAGGGGCTCAAACTGAGCTTTAAAGATAGGCATACATGGGCGCCTGGGTGGCTCAGATGGTTAAGCATCTGCCTTTGGC